TTTCCGCAAATACAAAGTAACGATCTCTTAACAGAGGCTGAACTTTGCTGCTTGTTCTCTTTTCTGTTGATCTGCACTCAAAACCTGTCCTTTAAATCATCATTCTCCTTGTGTGCAATGTTTTCTGAAAGGAAAATTCATTGCCATAAAGTTAAATGGTCATTAAATAAAACATTAGTTTACGTTGTGAATGTTGTCCTAAAGACACATTGCTGTTGCTAAGCCTGACCTGTATAAAACTGTCTCCACCTAGTAGCACTAGAAGTGTGGATTCTACTTAAACCAAACCCACACTGTTACAGGATTAAAATTCAAGCCACACTCTGATTACATACCTTAATTTAAGTGATAATATCACTCTGCATCAGTAGAAGTAAGGAAAATACACTCAAATGGACACAGTGTAATTTAACACATATTTAGATCTTCTTTTTAATCTTAGGAAAAAAAGGAAAAGGAGTGGTGACATCTAATGAAGTGAGAGGCAGTGAAGTTTCTTACTGCTTTCTCTAACCTAGACTGCAGTCTCTGTGCAAAGACTACTATAGTTTTGGGCAGTACCTTTATCAATTGAAAGCAGCAGAGTCTGGGCAACTTTGGATTATATTCTCCACAGCATACACAATGTCTTATGAATCAGTAGCAGCTAGAAGTGCATTAGAGAAAATTTTAAAGAGCTAAAAGAAAAGCAGAGTAAGCTAAAGCGAGGAAGAACACAGGAAAGCTACTTGGCAATACTTTTGAGGATATGCTGTAAAAGTGAACATTGCACACAGCGTATGGACATGCGCTTGAGAATGGAGACTTTTTGTCTTCACAGTTCCCAAAGGGCACAGATGCACTCTGCTTCTCTTCATGCTTCTTTCACAGATAAAAAAGTGGTGTATGTTTATCCCTTTGGTTTCTTCTTAATAGGCAGAAAAATTATCCCACTTCCATGCAGAGGTCTCAGTGGAGAAAAATGAGGATTGGTGGTGAATACCCATACACTATGTCTCTTGAAACTTCAGTCATTCATCAGTAATTGCTTTTTGTTCTTTTCCTGCTTGTTAAGCACACTCACAGTGTGTGTGATTCCAAGCAGTATTCTGTTACTCCTCTCACTTAATTTACTCCAATAAGGTTTTGGCATCCCTAGACACGAAGGCTCCACCTATCAGATGGAGTGCTTCTGCAACAGAGCAATGCTTTGTGAATGTGAGATTAAAGTTCCCTTGGATGGGACTGAGGCATGCCTCTTCAGCAAAACTGCTACACTAACTTGAGCTTGTGTGGAGTGTGACCTGATCAGTGATAGCAAACTCACCAGGCCAGTATCATAGCAGGGTCTGACACCGGCAGTTACCTTATTAGTTCACAGAGAAATCACCATGCCAAGACATACCTATGCTACAAAGGCCTTGAAGAGCTTTGGCTTCAGAAAGCTGAGAGGAACCTTGGTCTAGATAATCAGGCTGTGAAGTGATGTCTTTCTTTCTAAAGGCCTCACAAAGGGAGTTAACTAGCATGTTAATTCCCTATCTGAAGTGAAATCCAGTAACAACATTTAGCAGCAACTTAGGGTAGAGGTTCAAAAAAACCTCTTCTGGTAAAAAGACCAGGTATGAGTCTAAAATCCTGGATTTCTCCTGCTCTGTTTGCTGAGTGTGAAATGTGTTCACCTGATTCGTGTCAATATGGACTAATGCTAGAGCCGCGTGGTGAAATGTGACTTTCTGTCTTATATACCCTTGTATAACCGCAGGCGTAAGAGAAATGAAGTGGTTAATGTATATAGTTTTAGCTTTTTGTAAAAGACATACTTGTGTGCTAGTTTGGACCGGTTTTGCTGTTAACCGTATGGTGTCAAGCCATAAAAATCTGGAGTCACCCTAAGGGTGAGCCGAGGAAGGCCATGCGCATATGTGGAATCTGGGGTAATCCTGAAGGCAGCCAGGAAGACCACCAGACCACCAGACGGGAGCCAAGAAGACCCCGAGGGCATGCACAGAAAGAGATAAGCCTACTCCTGGAATTTATTCGCATAGACCCACCTTTTCAAGAATGTGTATTAGCAGAAAGGATATAAACCAGAAACAGGAACTGTACGGTGTGCGTCTTGGTAGAGCAGAGGCTCCCGGCACACCCAGCGCTGTTTGCTTGCATTTATTCATTTAATAAATTGTAAACTTAAATTGCAACCCAATTTGGGACTAAGTCATTTATCACACTGAGCCATAGTGAAAGCCACTTTCATGGGTATATATAAAAAAGCAGTGAGCAGATTGCCATAAATTCAGTGGTAATTTCTTCAGGATTACTGGGATGGGCTGTTTGACCAGAAAGACTTTAATTAATCCTTTCAGGAAACACAGAATCGTGAATTGACAAGACACCAAAAGGCCATTTGTTAATCAGTTAAAATCTTTTATCCCAAAGGGAGATATAACTTGACTGAATGGATGGACAAGCCAAGCGTTTCAGCTCCAAGACAGGACATGGGGACGAAGCCAAATAGTACTTTAGACACTGTGTGGGTCTTGTCATGCCTGTATAGGCCATCCATAGCCTCTCTTGTACTCAGTGGAATTTCTGTCTGGAATGTGATATCACAGATTGATATTACAGTAGCTAGTATCCCTTTGTGGGCTGAGTGGACCTCATCTGCTGGATCTAGTCTTCATCTCCAGGAGAAGGTCACCTCCCAAAAAGTGGTCCTGGGTAACATGAACTCTAGCCAACACTGTGTCATGAGTTTCTCAACAGGTAGCATCTGCAGCAAAGGCTTATAGGTGTCTTAAGTAGGATGGGCTCCCTTCAGGAGCAGAAAAAGGAAAATATTTCCTTCATTTCTAATAAAATTAAGATCATGATCAAGTAAGTAAAAACATGGACAAACATTTTACTAGAAAAATGCATGCAGTTGAAAAGATGGCACGTACCACGAGGAATAGAGACATTCTCTTGGTAAGTGCTAAAACAGACCTAATGGTTATGGCCCATATGCATACTACCAACAAAGAAACAGCAGGCGAGAGGCTAAAAATGCAATCCTACATAGTCCTATTCTTCACTGGTTTTATACACTGTGTCAGATAGCAGAGGCTCAGCGCATGATTGATTAAACTGTGCAGGGAAAAGGGGATTATATTTATTAGTATCTGGTAAATTTTTGAAGCAGATTAAGTTTATATGAGATGGATTTCACCTAATCAAAACAGAATCAGTGCTGCTGACATTTAAGATTAAAACCGCTATGAGGCAATTTTAAAATGAAAACTAAGGAAATTGTGCCAGGTGTGGAAAGAAAATTGTTCAGATTGATATATCTGTGCGGTCTGAACTCACAGAAAGCCTACGACTTAGAAAAATAGATAGAATAGAAGGTAAGAAAAAACCAAGGAAAAACAATAACACAGGTAAGCGGAGTGTATAAAACCATGCAACCAAATCAAGACAAATGCCCAAATATGTCTATACAAATACTTTTAAAGTATGGTTTAAATGGCAGAACAATTGGCAAATGCCTTTAAAAAAACAAACAACCCAAATGTAATACGCATTATGGAAGTTTGAAGAAAAGAAGATATTCAGTGGAACACTGATACATAAATATACATTTTGTACAGGAAGAATAGTTTGCATTTACACATTAATGCTAAAGAAAGAATAGTATCAAACAGAGTATGTGTCAACAGTTGTGTTGTACTACAGAATTTCAAGGGCTGCAGAATTTCATTCTATCACTATGAGTGATTGCTTCTCGGAGCTATTTGTGAAAGCACTCACAAGAAAAGAAACAAACTTATTTAATCCTGAATAATATACAAGACCTAGTACAAGTTGAAACAACAAAAGACACAAAGTTGCTACAATAATGTTTTAAGGGCATACACAAAAAAAACAAGACTTGCAAAAATAAGCCCAAGAAGCTATTAAAAGGTTCAAATGTTTGCAGTGCCAAAGGGGCTGTTGAAAGAATCATTTAAAAACTCAAAAGTGAACTTAGGCCTTTTGTAAGTCTACCCACACTATAAAGGTAGGGTTATTGTAG